AGCGATTGAGAAACTGTTTTGTTTCCGCGGTGACCTACCATTTTTATGGCTTTATCGAAAGGACCATGAAATGTACTTTCCGCTGACATGCGAAGAGTAAGTGTCGGATAACCTTTTGACCCTCAAGAAGAGGGTTAAACATTGATTTGTTGACTGTTAACAAAGGACAACTGCTTTTGCTATTATTAGAGCCCATACCTGTGTGAATGTGAGGCTACAGTTGCACAGTTTAATTGCAAAGGCAAATGTTTGTTGAACAAGGTTTACGCTCCTTAAATCATTCTTTTCTAAAGCAGTCTGTCTATAGCACCCTGAAGGCTGAATCAGTGAATGCTCGCGTGGGTAGGCAGAACACGGGGCAGCCCATGGCTGGCACGCTTCTAATCATAATTGTTGCCTGCCAACCTGCAATGCACATGTGTTAACTCACAGCTGAGCGAAATTATCGCCTGCCTGAATATACTTACTTGGATTTTAGCCTGTAGGATTTCAGGAACTCCCCAGGGTTGTAGAAGGGCGATGCCATCTTTGATTATTGATTACACTTGCACGCGCCATCTCGCGGCAACTATAGGCCTAGTTTAAATTAGATTTTATTCTCATGTAACTTTGTTAAACGAATAAATAATAACTAGTACCATATAATATATATTTACTTTTCATCTTAAATCTTAACATATATCATGTAGCTATGGCCGTGCGTATCCATTTACCAGTTATGCGAACATAAGCTGTTACCATAGAAATATTAGAGACACTATATATTATTATTTCTATGGCTGTTACACTCGGGCGCATAGGAACGAAGTATTATTGAGGGGGCAGTAAAAGGCATCATCGCTGGTTTTTTTTTTAATTTATATAATTAAGAGAGAGAGAAAGTCTAAGATAAAGAGAGAGAGAGAGAGAGAGAGAGAGAGAGAGAGAGAGAGAGAGAGAAGTAAATTGAGACGGAGACAGGAAAACGGTGATACGGTGTGTATGCGAGCGGGAAACGGGGTACAATTAGGTCGTGCGAGATGGTTTGCAAGGGGATGGGAGGTGGGAGGCAGGGGGAGGGAGGTCGAAGGCAGGGGAGGGAGATGGGCAGTAAGGGGGTGGAAGTGAGAGGCAAGGGGAGTGAAGTGGGAGGCAGGGGGAGGGAGGTGAGAGGCAGGAGGGAGGGAGGTGGGACGCAGTGGGGAGGGAGGTGGGAGAGAAGGACCCCCCCCCGCCCCCTCTAATTAAACTTGGAGATCCATGCTCATATGTTGAAATCTTTTATGTCAACGTCAATGTCATTCATTAACTTGTATTTGAATTGTTATTATTGTTCTTGTTATTAGAATTAGCCCATAGAGATTAGGTGGGTGCGAAAGTGTAGCTAGCTGATATATTTGTTCGAATTGGCTACGAAAGTCGAACAAGAATAAAGAAGACTTATGTATAAGACGTCTTGCTATGCACAAATGAATTTATCAGCAGAACACCAGACACCAGATGAGCCCTGTCGCACTGCTGCACTTGTTTACTTTATATGTATGTTTTTTTCTTTTTGGCTCCTGTGGGGCAATACGTCTCTGTTACTTCGTTGCTTTGGTTTATATAACATGCTTTGCCAGCAAAAGCTACTCACTGAACATTACCTGGGTGAGGTTTTTAGGTTCACGCTTGCAAGATAAATCTATTTCTACAGTAGGTGTCGGTTTGAAGCAAAATAGAATAAAGTGCCTTGCTCAGTGGCACAACAGAAGTAGCTATAGGGGGACTTGAACCCCAGACCTTTCAGCCCGAAGTCAAGTGTGTACGCATGTTGACACTTAACCATCTTATTTTTCATAATTTAGACAGCTGTAATGTAACTATTTCAATCATTAACTACGAGGTTAATAAGGCTGTTACCATTGTTGTTCATACTAGGAGTTTATCACTGTCTGCTCATCTATATCTAATGCAATGGCGGAGAGTCGGTGCCCTCACGTGATAACAATCGGTGAGTGTACACCAGATGACGTCGTTAAGCAGCAACGCAAGAGGGCTTGTGATGCTTGCCCTGCAAGGGGACCCAACTTGTGGCTGTGCCTTTCCCGTGAATGTCTGTTTGTCGGCTGTGGTGAGAGTGCAGCAGATCACAGCTCAGCCCATCATCAGGTAACCATTCATCACTGGTTTAAGTTTGTGTTAGTTATTGCATGACCTGGTATCATGAACGTGTATAGAGGGATCTTTTTTAAAAGTTATCTGGCTGTACTTATCATATTCGTGCTGCCAGAGCCTGTAGAAATCTGCAGAATTGAATCAAGAATAAAGGACTTTTCTTGTACAAATGCACTTGATGTTGATATGGCTTACCTAATAACAGTTAACCGTTTTCACATCTATTTTATGTGTGCGGAAAGTAAATGCCGCGTAGGCCAGAAAAAATCGTTAACAGAATCGATTGAGTAACTGAAAGAAATGGTGTCACTATCATTAGCTGGTGATAATACTATAGAAAAACTTCAGTATACTTTATTTTCTTCTAATGTCAGACAGTATATAATGTGTCCCAAGAACATTAAAATGGCCTAGCATGGTATACATTTGCAGAAAGAAGGTCATGCACTCACACTTAACTTGGCAAGTCTGAGAGTGTGGTGCTACGTATGTGAGTGTGAAGTGTTCCTAGAAAGCAACACTCCTCCTGTTCAGCCAAGTTCTAGACAACCACAAGAAGCAGCTAATTTTAATGGTAGGTGGAGGTTATTTTATTGTACAGGGTACTTTATGGTCTCTGATGATTACACTCAAACTGTTTTGTTTCGCCGTAGTACTATTTTTTCGTAAAACGCTTGTAGGTGTATGCATCTTGGCACAGACACTAAGAAAGGCAATCACCTGTTATAATTACCAGTTGTGAGTTACAATAGCTGTTCACTATTTCTTTACAAAATTGATGTTCCAAAATGTAAGGCTTAAAAAAGGAATTAACGCCAGCGTCAAACCGCATTTCACATTGTAGTGCGGAAAGGTACAAATATTTAGTTTGACCTGAAAGTTGATTAAGCTTGCACTGTCTTTTCAGTGAAGCACTATGCTGATCAAGCGCTGTCACATGGAGATGATTCGGAATCGGAGGATTACGACCACGATGAGAATATCAAGCCAAGAGGTAACATCATCTTGTTCGATGCGGGCAATTCTTGAATGTTCCTCTATACCTGAGAACATCAGTGATCTTTACAAGAATCAGCGACAAAGAAGCAATAGAATGCTCCTCAGCGGTATAAAGATGTGAATAATTACCTTATTTGTTTCGTTTAATCCTACCTCGTTTTAATCTTGCTTTTTATGCATCTTAAACTCATGCTTGTTACATATGACGGTTTCTTTGCTAGGTCTCGTCGGTCTGCAGAATATTGGTAACACCTGTTACATGAATGCAGCATTGCAAGCTTTGTCCAACTGGTGAGTAGTTAAGGTTGAGATGTAATCTGTAGTTGTTTGGTGCTGTGTGTGGTAGTTGTAATATGCATTGTAACGTAGGAAATTACATCAAGGTTTGAATGAAATAATTTAGAGTAAAATAAATCAAAGGGTTCACGTAAAAGAAATATATTGTTTACAAATCAACAGGTCTAAACGGTACACGCTACTCGCCGTCTCCCAGTCCAGTCTCCCACAAAGAGACAAAGAAAACGCGCACACGCGCTTAAGCGTGTGTGCTCACTCCCGCGATCATCACCAGACTCCTGACTCCTACATCTCTCCACTCGATCTGCACCCCTATTTCACAATCACTCGTGAATCTGCCTAACCTAAACACGCTTATCTACTCGCACACTCAACCTAGTTATAAACTACATGCTAACTAACTGACTCTACCCAGCCCAAGCTATTTACAGCTAAATCTATTTACCATTACTAATGTATGTAAACATCTGTACATCACACACACGCACCTACCATTTATAATGTACATGCTAAATGACTGACTCTACCTTAGCCCAGACTATTTACAACATAAGTCTAACTACATTTACTAATAAAATGTACCATCTGTAAAACCACATGTTACATTACCTCCCCCTTCTTCATAACGATGATCCATCATCGATTCAGCGCCTCGCTGATCTAAATTTCCTCTTTAACTGTACCTTCAAACCCCACCATATCTAACACACACACACCCACACAGCACACACACACACACACACCACACACACACACACACACACACACATCACACACAACCACACACACACACCGACACACACACACACAACAACACACCCAACACCAACATCACCACACCACACACACACACACACACACACACACACCACACACCACACACATACAACACACTACACACCCACACACACACACACCACACACACACACACAACCACACACACACACACACACAACACACACCACACACACACACACACCATATTTCCCTGACATCAAAATAAAGTTTTGTCCGTCGTACCGTCGACCATACTAATACAATAACCCTTTCAATGAACACATAATTCAACGTTACATTTTGGTGCCAGTGACAGTCAAAAACCTGGGTATTCCTTTGCGGACGCAACGTAAGGTACTCGATCCGTTATGTCGATCTACGGGCCATACTACGCAAGGAAGATGGAGAAGGAAGAAGCCGCAGGAGGAGTCGCTGGGTACACCGTTGGCGAGAAAACTGGAGAGAGAGAAACGGAGAGCAGACGAGAGAGCAAGTGAGACGGAGGAAGAGAGAGAGAGAGAGAGAGAGAGATACGGGAACAGGAGCAAGAGTAGGAGAAACAAAGAACGAAGGTGAGCGATTGACAGAGACGAAGAATGGCGGAGAGCGAGACGGGAGGAACAGAGCGAGACGCGGCAGCGAGAACGGTGGATACACACGGCGTAGGAACTACTGTGAGTAAGTAAGTCAGCGTGAAGGAAGAAAGGGCCGGTGTTGCATCCTTGATACTGCGACGGCAAGTCCGAGTCTCGACCTATGTGAGAGAGAGAGAGAGGAGAGCAGAACAGAGAAGGCAAGGCTGACAGAGCAGAGACAGAAGACGTGAAAGATATATTGCGAACTGTAATGGCATAAAAAAAAATATCCAGGGAATTCTCTTAGAAGTTAATTGTGGAACGCTTAATCGTGGCCGTCGAAAATGGATGTGAAAGGGTGACCATCATCAGAATTGTGTATTTTTATCTGTTTTTAGCCATCAATCTGACATAGTCAGATGGCAGCTTGTAGAATCGCATTGATCGTCCGTCCCGTGTGCGTCGTCCGTCCCGGTCCGTCCCGGTCGTCCGATCAACAGTTGGCACAAATCTTAACCGCTCGACGTACGGTCACGATATTCGGGGTCGTTGGGGTGGATCCGTCAAAACGAGTTGGGCTGTCGAAGCTGGGGTCAAAGGTCAAAGGTCAAAGAGTGTAAAAGAGGGGGAACATTCACCTCCTTTAACTAAGGATAGGAGAAATGCAGAATTGCGCACAAATCTAAACGCTCGTCGACCTAGGCTCGTGATAGCGTTGTTAATAGCATCATTGGTAGGAAAAGCCATCACTGTGCCGAAATTGAAGGTCAACAGGTCAAAGGTCAATGGGCACAGGGCAGATTTTAGACATTTTCTGAGGACATGGTCTGACGGCAGCGATTGAAAAACTTTTTTGTTTCACGGTGACCTAGCATTTTTATGGCATTATTGAAAGGACCATGAACTCTACTTTCTGCTGACATGCGAAGAGTAAGTGTCAGATAACCTTTTGACCCTCAGAGGAAGGGTTAAACACTGGATTTGTTGACTGTCTGTTAGAAGAAAGAATTTGACTGCCGGGTTTGCTAGTAGATCTATACATGCCGGATGTAATGAGGCTACAATGTCACAAGTGAAATTTCAAAAGCTAAATTGTTAAAGAAGGTTTATGCCCTTAAATTCGTATAATTTATATGGCATTCTGTAGTGTCAGTATGTTACATGTAACGTATACCACTGCCAGTGCTACTGCCAGTGCATGTGTTGTGGTACTGTGGAGTTTTTGCCTTAATTGGTTGCAGGTGCAGCTCTCTATTCGCGGCCAGCCTGTAGGCCTTGGGTAGGTAAAATGGATGAGTGCTTACCTATTCTGTCTTGCAGATAGTTGTTGCTTACTAGATAGATGGGAGCTTCCATCTTTAATAATGAAGACACTTAAACGTGACGCGCAATCTCGTGCAACTTTCATAAACGATCCCAACGAACATTCTTTGAGAAGGTTCCTGATACCATCCCTGTGCATTCCACTGTTTCGGCGTGTATGTGAACACATTTGGACTAACAGGGTTTTACTAGAATCCATCACTCCACCACAGAGTCACGCGCAGTAGACGTTAGATGAGCGCTGTCGGCTATGCGGCACTGTGTTCTTTGTTTTATGTACGCGGATATTATTTCATGGTAGATGCTCGTGACCGTTTGTCTTTGTGTGGGAAAATCTTTCTGGGGGAAATGTGTGATCGTTTTCTTGAATTTGTCGTAACGGTACGTTTACGCTATATTGTAAGACTGCTAAACACATTTTTCAATTAGAGTTTGATAGGCCTAAAACATCTAATCGAAAATATGAAATCAGTTTTGCGTTTTTTTTTGGCTGTATGATGTGTGGAAGTGATAAAGGTTTGTAGTCCACATCGGTGCTGTGTTGTAATAATGGATTAAGAGGTTTAAATGAGTATGTAATGGAGCACATGGCTAAACGTGGTTTTGTAATGGCGTGTCGGTATATGCATACGCCACGTACGTTACAGCATAAAAAGACGCAAGAGTGAGAGTAATTGCAGCGATATCAAAATGTTCACTGCCAAATGTGTTGAATTTCTGACTTGTATGGTGATCGAACTTATTGTTACTTGTTTTGTATAGAAAGCTTTATGCTTCATATGTATTTTTAGCTCATCTGACTTAGTCAGATGCAGCTTGTAGAATCGCATGATCGTGCGCGTCCGTCTGTGCGTGCGTGCGTTCGTCCCAACAGTTGGGCACAAATCTTAACTGCTCGACGTACGGTCACGATATTCGGGACGTGGGGGGGTAATCCGAAAACGAGTTGGGATGTCGAAGCTGGGGGTCAAAGGTCAAATGTCAAGAGGTGTAAAAGAAGGGGTACATTCCTCCTTAACTTAAGCGTATAGGGAGGAAATGCAGAATTGCCGGCACAAATCTAAACGGCTTGACTAGGCTCGTGATAGTTGGTGTATAGCATCATGGTAGGAAAATCCATCACTGTGCTGAAATTTGAGGTCCAAGTCAATGGGGCACAGGCAGATTTTTAGACATTTTCTGAGCGACATGGTCTGACTGAGCGATTGGAAAACTTTTTTGCTTCAGCGTGACGCTAGCATTTTTATGGCTTTATTGAAAGGACCATGAAATGTACTTTCTGCTGACATGCGAAGAGTAAGTGTCGGATAACCTTTTGACCCTCAAGAGGAGGGTTAACACGGATTTGTTTACTGTTAGCAAGAATTTGACTGCTGCTGGTTTGCTAGTAGAATCTATACATGCCTGGATGTATGAGGCTAACAATGTCACAGTGAAATTTCAAAGCATAATTTGGTTTGAGAAGGTTTATGCCCTCTCTATAATTTCTATGACATTCTGTACTGTCAGTGTGTTACATGTAACTTATGCCACTGCCAGTGCATGTAGTGGTGATAGTACTGTGTAGTTTTTGCCTGCGTTAATTAGTTACAGGTGGCAGCTCTCTATTTTAGCCTGTAGGCTTGCGTAGGTAAATGGATGAGTGCTTACCTATTCTGTCTTGCAATAGTTGTTGCTACTACGTACGATTGGAGCTGTCCATCTTTAATCTTAAGACACTTAAACGTATGCCGCCATCTCGTTGCAACTTTCATAAGATCCCAACGAACATTCCTTTGAGAAGGTTCCTGATACCATCCCTGTGCCTTCCACTGTTTCGGCGCGTATGTGAACACATTGGGACTAACAGGGTTTACTAGAATCCCACCACTCACACAGAGTCACCGCAGTAGACGTTAGATGAGCGCTGTCGCTCCGCGGCACTTGTTTAGGTTTAGGTTTAGGTTGAAGTGTAGATCAGTGGGGACGCTGAATCGATGACAGGGTAGTCATTGTCTTGGGGAAGGGGGAGATAATGTAACATATGATTTACAGATGTTGCACGAATTAGTCAGCGGAGCTAGACTAGGGGTTGTTTTAGTGGTAGTCTATGTAGACAGAGCGTCGCGCATCTTGTGCGGCTAGATTGATGTTATAGGGAGAATGGTAAACGTGTTTTAGGTCGGGCGTTTCTAGGGTCATTGTGAAATGGAGGTAGGACGCGGTCTGGGAGAACGGGTAATATATAGGAGAGAGATGTAGGAGTGGGGAGTCTGGTTGTGGTCGTGGGAGAGGAAGCACACAACCATGCACGTTTCTTTGTTCCTTTGTGCAAGATGGACACACTGTGTGTAAGATATTAAAGTTTATTCAGGTTACCACACAAGTTTGGATTTCTATATCATCGATATTTATACATCGAACTCATAATTCAACGTTACAGCATAATGCATATCTAACTGTGAGTACGTGTTTACCTGATTAATCGTAAAAAACTTTTAGGTATGCCGTAATGGTTGTGTGTGTGAGTGTGCATAAAATGTGTTAATTGCATACACAGTTATATCACTATGCCTATAAATATAACGTGTACATCTTTATCTGTTCATTTTAGCCAGCCACTCACTCGCTTCTTTGTTGACTGTGAGTCGTACGTGAGAAGTGAAACAAAACCAGCATTGTCAAAGAGTTACCAGAAGCTTATAGCAGAACTGTGGCACAGGAGGCGCCCTTCGTATGTAGTGCCATCAAGTATTTCTTATGGAATCAAAATAGTGCACCCAATGTTCAAAGGATACACCCAGCAGGTAGGTAATGGCTATTCTGCATTGCAGATGGGACATTTGGTTGATAGCTGCTATAGTCTGTGGTTTCACATGTGTTTGAGTTTGATTGGTAAGTGTGTGCAGTTGGACCTAGTGGTGTGTTGATTGTGTCTAGCAGCTAGTTCGTTGCTGCTAAGGCCCACTGCTGGGGCTGTTTCTAAATTCAAGGGATTGCAAAGTTTCAAGTTGTTCAAGATGAAATTTGAGCAGATCATACACTTTTTCTCAAAGGATACACAAGAGTTCCTAAGATGCCTGATGGACCAGATGCATGAAGAGCTGAAGGAACCATGTCTTCAACCAGCCACAGTGCACCATGAGCAGACACCTAAGCTACAGGCACAGGTAAGCTGCACCCAAGCTTCAACTAGGTTAGATTGCTCCTAAGATCAATAGTTTAGAATTGTTTTGGTGCAGGCATCCCTCAATCTGCAAACTTCTTTCCAGCAAAGCTTTAATGATGTGCATCTCTTGTATGAAGGAAACGTAGGTGGTGAAATGATCTCGCTCCGTATCTGCATTTTTCTCTTCTTTTTTTTTCAAGGATGTGTACGGAATGTTGAGAAGCAGTGACTCGAGTTTGAGCAGCCAGTCGGAACCCGACTACGAGACTTGCGACTCGGGGGTGGAGGTGACGAGCAGCAGCAGTGGTGGCGCCCCCTTGACGAGAGCCCCTCCCACGGAGGAGGGCGAGCCGATTGACGTTGCCGAGAAAGACGCGGTCGAAATGACAGAGAAGGACTCCGGAATCCAGATTGGAGGAGGCGACGCCAAGGTGGAGGATGCCGTCAGTGACGGCGAGCCGGCGATCCGTCAGGAGGGCGAGGACGCTGAGAGAGGAAGCCGGTCGAGTGCGGGCGAGGACGTGGGAAGGGTGAAGGAGAGCAAGGAGCCGGGTGAAAACCGTGAGAGTGCTGGGGAAGACGAGTGCAGGAAGGAGCGCAAGGACACGGCGAACAAGCGGAGCCGCACGGCGGCAGGGGAGGGACGGCGTAGCTGTGATTCTAGTCCCGTGTCGCGCGACTCCAGTCCTGTGCTCAGCTACCATTCTGCTGACACCCTGGAGTTCAGTGATGCACATACAGACATCTTACCTGCTGCGCAGCACTGCTCTCCCAAAGGTGTCTATACAAACTGTACGACAAATATGTGAATGAATTAATAATGCATGAATAAATTAATAGTGAATTAATAGTAAATTAATAGTGAATGAATGAATAGTGCAGTAGTGGTCTTATCATCAGATAACTAAATATGTGATCAGTAAATGCTTTCAGGGTTGACCAAACTGTTCATTACTGCACGTGAAGTCAGAATAGTGTCAAACATGACATGGATCACTACTTTGCACCGTCTTTTGTTTGACAATGACATTGTGGTATCTTATAGCAGATGTGAAGGTACCATCATGTTGTGTAGGTAGGAAGTTGTCACCAGATAGCAGCACTGGCCCAGTCACTAAGTCTCCACGAATACGAAATCTTTCACACCCTGGCAAGCAAACACAGTCCTGCTCTGCAGAAGCCTCAGCAAACACCAGTATGTATTTAAGCACGGGTAAATTGGCTGCAGGGTGGTAACAAGAATATTGCTGATAACCTAAAGGATTTTTTTTTATTAGATGATCCAGTAATGTTGGCAATTGTCTGATTAGCCTGAATGAGCTAAGAATCTTACTTATTGTTAGAGTGGCAATGTATAGTACATTAGTTTTGAATGGTTTGTGTGGCATGACTTTGAAGGTGTGCTAACCATTGTTGGGTGACCCATGCTGATTGCACATTTAGGTTTATTAGGCAAGAAGAAGCAAGTGTCATATCACAGCGTCATATCCGACATCTTCGATGGACAACTTCTGAGCTCTGTGAAATGTTTAACCTGTAACAGGGTAAGCAGCTTTACCTTTTTCTTTTCTTTTTATTATTATTATTCTCTATTGCATGTAATTCAGATACAAATACATGTACTGACGACGATAAAATAAATAGTGTTGAGTAGTTAAACTGATAAAATTTCTGACTGATACAGTACAATACAATGCTATGCAACATGAAGAAAAAAATATATACTAAAAAAAACTTCAGCATATTCTGTACTAGTAAAGTGATTAAGACAACATGAAGAAAAAATAGATACCAGAAAAAAACCTTCAGCAAAGTCTGTACAAGTAAAGTGATTAAGGTACACTTTAACATCATTTTGACACTCATATATACACCATTATACCTTCTGTGGGTTGTGATCAGGCAGGATTGAGCCGTGCTAGTGTAAAACCTAAACATTTAAGATGTTCTACAGTCAGTGTGAGAAAATGTGTTATGTCTTGTCAACATAGAAGCATTTATTATAGCACACAATGCTGGTTTAGTGAGCACTTAATGGAATTTCGTTTTAGCAGAGTTTGTCTTTACATTGGCCGATTCTTCTAATAAAGTAGGTCGGTGTTACTTTGTTCCTAAAGCTTCAAGCTTGATAGGACACTGTCAGTTTATGTTTATTGTGTAGCGTGATTGGTTTATGTTCACTTATGCTGAGTATGGGATGCCCCATGTACTCAGACCCCAAGTGTTCGGTGGCCAGTATAATGGTTTTCCTCTGCAGATATCTATGACAAGAGAGACATTCCAGGATCTGTCACTTCCCATTCCAACGAAGGAACATATTCACATGATGCGTGCCAATATAACAACACCAGGTGTGAAGGGTGTGGTGCCCTGTGGGGACAGCTACACCAACCAGGGCTGGCTTTCATGGGCAGTTGGATGGCTAAAGAGGTACCCAATCGCTGCCCCCCTGTACAACACTGCAAGGTTCACACTGTGTATAGATCAGTTTTCACAAGATGCAATAAGTTCAGCTAATGCTACTGTAAAATGTGGATAGCTATTCTATCCACAGCCACGACAGCATACTGCGCAACAGCGACACTGTACTACCGCATGCTATACGACAGTGACTGAACAAGTGAACGTAGTTCGTCTCATCAGTTAACTTAATTTCTTTTTATGCTGACGATGTCATTGTCATGATAACATTAGGTCCCAATAGTGTTAGTTCTAATGCTGCTTACTATGATGTGGAATAAACAGATAAAACACGGAATAAACACGTAAATGTTGCAAAAACACGGAATAAACACGTAAATGTTGCAAAACAACGATAAAACGCACGGAGAGCCACGAATTATTATGGACCAAGGTCTGGCCTTGCTGACTGGCATTGTGCTAGTTTGAATAATGCTAGATGCGGTCCTGTTTCCATTGCTTCTACAGTTGGTTCTGGGGTCCTACGATTAAACTACATGACTGCCTGTCAGCATTCTTCTCTGATGATGAATTAAAGGGAGACAACATGTACAGCTGTGAGAAGTGTAAAAAGTAAGAGTTTCCACAGGGTCTTATACTGCAAAATATATTTTCTGTTTTGATGTGATTTCATCTGAGAGAAATGTTCCCACATATTTTAAAAAATCAGGTCTGCAATAATCAGGAAAGCATGTGTCTTGACTCCTTGGATTCTTTCTGATCCACCCCTGAATCATATATATATATATATATATAAACATATTTATATATATATATATAAGGTTAAAAATATTATCCATTGCGGAAATGAAACTTGCTTACTATATCCCGTTTGTCTCGCAATCCCATTGCGAGACAAACGGGATATAGTAAGCAAGTATATATATATATATATATATCTATGTATACATTCTTCAGCGTCCCTGTTCCATGAAACGATGTTACCAAATGATATTGTGTCTTTTTGCAGGTTACGGAATGGTGTGAAATATTCCAAGGTCTTAGCCCTGCCTGAGGTAAAATATTTACTAGCATTTTTTTAGACGTAATCCATTCAGCATGTTTAGAGTGCGACTCATTTCACTGAGAGTAGTTATGCATATTCACACGAGCTGCTTGATCTGACTAGGGTTGCATTCTCTCAGATACTCTGCATTCATCTGAAGCGGTTCCGCCATGAGACGATGTTTTCTTCCAAAATCAACACCTACATTTCATTCCCGCTCACTGGCCTTGACATGAGTGATTTCCTGCACAAAGGTGACTATATAGAGTACCACTTGTTGCTCTCGTATCTGTAATACAAAAAGGTCAACCTGTATTATAAAAAGCACCTTGTGAGCTTAACCATAAGGAGCATTACTACAAGATTGTTTTACACTGTGGGCGTCTCTAAGGTGCGGTATTCGTGCAGTTTTTAACAAGAAATACTGGAGCTAACTACCAAGTGCAGCTTGTTACAGCCACCTTCCTTGAGTCCCCATGGCATAAGTCGCTGCAATGTGCACCATTAATGATCAAACCAAAGTTTTTGGCAATCTTTAGATGGTGAACTTTGCACATCTTATGTTGTGTTAACAAAAGGCTCAGTGACAGTGACTGCATCAGAGTTGGGTTAATTGAAGTGTTGTCGTATAGTGCAATGACCTTTTGAACTGAATCTTGTCATTTTCTTTTTATAGATGAATGCACAGCACAGGTGACAACGTATGACCTGGTCGCTGTCATCTGTCACCACGGAACAGCAGGAGGTATGATGCAGCCTAAAGTTCATATATGTATATATATATATATATATATGTGTGTGTGTGAACTGTAGGCTCTCGTGTGTGTGTGTGTGTGTGTGCGTGCGTGCGTGCATGTGAGGAGTGAATAAAAACAAGGGAGTTTGCAATGCTAAATTATTGGAAATACAATGTTCGTCGTCACTAATCTACCTAGGATTTATTATATTTAATTCAACAAACCTGAGCCCAGAATCCGATAGATGGCACGGAGCACACAAACAGTCTTTCGTTTAAAATATCCTGCATGATGCTCTCATTTATACTGAAAAATTTCAGCAATTGTGGCGTGCATTTTCATCTGTTTTTGTGGATTGTCAATGTGTATGGGAAAACCGATTGTGTATGATGTTAATGTAATGTTTGTGGTAGATTCTGAGCTCCGATTTGTTGAATTAAACATAATAAATCCTAGGTAGATCAGGATCAATGAAAATTGCATTACCAATAATATAGCCTTGCACACTCTTTTGTTTTTATTCACTCCTGATATATATATATATATATATATAAATTACATAAGCGGGTGTGAGGTATCTTCAAACAGAAAGCTTGGATTGTTTATACCTCACATTGGTTTTTTGGTCATTGCTTGCATAAAGAAGAAATTTTAGCAGATCAAAGTAAATTAAATGGCTCAACAAAAAATATCACAATTCTTATGTAGATTCTGCCTTTTACTATAAATGTAAGTTTACCCAGAGCAGCTTGCTCTGTAAACATCTGTCTCCAATTACTGAAGACTGGAATTACCTAGGTATTGATACTTCCACAGAATACCACAGGTTTAGTCTAAGAATGCACAGGAGAGCATTGCCACATAGTCGCACTTCACTACGTAACTCCCGTGACAGGTTATAGCTGAATTAAGTTGCATGCGAGATGCCAGGTCATTGTATGCAACGTTTTACAGGTGGTCACTACACAGCGTATGCGCTGAACCACATCAGTGATCAGTGGTATGAATACGATGACCAGTACGTCACTGAGGTGAACGAGCAGACCGTGGAAAACTGTGAGGCATATGTTCTCTTCTACAGGTAAAATGTTTTCTTCTCATGGGTAAATGTTTTGCAGCTACGCATTATTGTTTTAATAGTGTAGGTTAATGTTTTGCTGGTATATTCTTCTCAGTGGGTGCTTCACTTTTCCTCCCCTGTGTATCTATGCTCATCACACATGCATTAGTATTCCATTGGTTTTATCTGGCTTTTGATTGTATCACCACTGATGCACAGCTTCAATTACTGTACACACTTGCATCCCAGTAAAGCAGAAATTCAGCAACATAATGTAATTGTTGATTGTACCGGTCACTATAATGGTCACCTGGATTTGCTTGATCACTCTCTTTTCTTGCAGGAAATCAAACAATGAAATGCTGAAGCTTCGGCAGCAGGCGGAGGACTTGCAGCGTTCGCGCGAGACCAGCCTCATGAACTTCTACATCTCAAAGCAGTGGATTAACAAGTTTAACACGTTCGCCGAGCCAGGACCAATCACAAGCTACGATTTTCTCTGCGCACACGGCGGTAAGTAGGTAGTGCCGACCGCAGCTACAGCTGTATAACTGGAAGGGCGGTGACGTCGCGAAAGAGGAAGCGAATGAAGCAGCTATGCCGAGTGACTGTCGCCAGCGACCCGCAGCAACAGAGTATTGTAATTGTTCTGTTTGCTCTCACCAGGTGTCGCTCCACACAAGTTCAACCACGTGCGGGACCTGTGCCTCCTCGTGCCGCAGCCGGTGTGGGAGTATCTGCATAAGATGTTTGGCGGGGGTCCCGTCTGCAATCGCTTGTACCTCTGCACTGTATGTCATAGGCAGCAGGAAGTGATGGAAACCAAGCGTAGGCAGGAGCTGAACACATTTGTGAGGGTAAGAATAGAGCTCTAAAGTGATGGAAGTCTGTATAGCTGAGAAAAATGAGGGCTGTAATACAGCTGATATGAAAGAAGGGCTGTAAACCTGTGGTGAAAGAGATGGAGTAGGCGAGTACTGAATTATACATATTATAGTACATTCAGCGTATACCTTATTTTATATTCGAGCGGGGTATATCGAGCAATATTGCCAGCTTTTGTATGCATTTTATATCATTGTGATAAGAAATTGTATCTGTAAGTGAGTTGGGGTATGTTGTGTGTGATGTGTTGGTTTTTAAACAAGCCGTATGTTATTATTTCACAGCTTCATAAGGAGTTCCAAGCTAAAAGTGCTAATTGTACTATCTATGCCCTGAGTTTGTCTTGGTTCAAGGAGTGGGAGAATTTTGTCAAATGCAGATCAGATGGTAAGAGTAATCATTTTCTTGTCAAGATTTCCTTGTTTTTAACTTTTTTAACTAGGCACATTTCTTTGTGCATCTTTATTACATTGACCTTACTTTTAACAAGTAAATCAAATGCATCATTTTAATATTATTTATAAGCAGCACCTGATGTTTTTATAAATTTTTGTGTGTGGAAAATTGTCTGTATATAAGTCGTGCCAAACCATTTTCCAAAAGTCCATCGATGAAATATTTGCCCCACATAAGAATCAGTGAAGGCAAAGTCACTAACTAATACATTTGTGGATATTTTGGTAAATTAGTAAAAGTAATTCATACAAATATATAATTAGGTGAGTGAAACAAGTCTTCTTGATTTTTTTTCAATAAAACGCCAACATCTTGTCATCTTAAATAGAAAAACAGTGTGGGAAAGGTTGACTCTGCAGAATTCCTGTGTGTTGGATAACCCTGGCATAAGTTAAGCAAAAACCAGAGGTAGTTAATACGCGATTACTGTTGATTGATATTGCAGAGCCTGCCGGAGCAGTGGAAAACTCATCGATAGCTGTGCAGCAAGATGGCAGATACGTGGTGAAGTCCGATTCTGACTATGGTCAGATCTCAGAAGAGATGTGGCATTTCTTCTTCGGCATCTACGGCGGTGGCCCTGAGATCTTACTGCAGCAGGGACCTCCCTGTAAGAAGGAGTGTGTAGAGGAGAACCCAGTTACACGCTGCTGAGACAGCGATTTAGGATAACCCAAGCAAATACTGTTTGTTTCGCAGTCAGGATCAAAATTTAGAAATAGCATCGAATGGAAGTTCCTGCTGAAACACATTGTAGTCAGATTAGCATAGGCATTACCACTATGTGTTTATAAATCAATCACTTCACTACCCCTCAATCTATATTGTGAAACAAGATATGTGCACCGAATGGCATTCGTCTATGCCATCTTGTATACTAACTGTCATTCTGTGCTACAACATGGTGAGGTTGAATACTCTAGCTCCTATTTACTCTAATTACTCCAATACAAATTTATTCAACGTTACAAATATCATCCTGAGAGACAGAGTGAGAGTGATGTGTGTTTTTCTTGATAATGAATGCTCGAAATATGCATTGGTACTTGCAAACATAAGTATGGTTTGTGAATCTATGTCGTATGCACAAGTTATAGTACTTGAATTGTATGCATGAGTTTGTATATAAAAGATTAACAGTGGCTACTATTTAAATACCGTAATTGTTCAGCTGTATCAGCTACTATCTGTATAAAATGGTAAATGTTCTATTATTGCTATAGAACCGAGAATGTGTGTAACCAGTGATCGTGATTTGTGTATCAAAGCTGCTGCAAATAGTTGCACATATTACATAAACTTCTTGTGTAGGATTAACATGTGTTATTGCACCAAGGCTTGCATGTGGTTGCATTCATTGCATTTAACTATGTGTGGTGAAATACTGGAAGTGCGTTTGTTGAGGAAATTGTAAGAATGAACATGGTTGCGAAGCAGCCACGTATCAATGCGTGAGATACCTTTAGCGTGTGTAAGATTTAAGTTATTTTAGGAGCATAGTAGTATTGTAAAACAGTGCTCGGGTAAAGTTATTATTATGATCGAATGTAGCTATTGTTGCATTGGTTCACACCATATTAGCGATAGTATCGATATGTGTGCAGTTAGTGTTGGTGCCATATGTTAATCAGTTGTTGCCTAGTGTCATTTTATCAAGAGTCGATCTATTGTAAGACTCCTGGTATCACTTACCTTTCCTGGTGGGGTTAGATGGTATCTTCATATTTATTGTGTAATTACATACACCCTAATGCAGTAATGGGATTGTACTCACACAAAATAATACTGTGTCCATCATCAGTAATTTAGTTTACTTGCGTTTGATCAAAGCAATTTAAATGGCCTATTTAAGAGTTACATACACATTCAAGTTTTCCCCTTTATGGCAGCCTAATTATTGCATATATAGACCTCTTGCTCTGGCTTACTTGCCAAAGACCGTACATAATTGTGTTATAACGCATTGTATTGTGTAAGAATACTCTCACTCGCTCTCCCTCTCTCACTCTCTCTCTCTCTTGCTTTCTCTCGCTCACTCTC